GCACCCCCCCCCCCCCCCCTCCCCCCATCACGCCACTGTCTTTCCTTCCCCAACGACGTCCGATAGGAGATTTGCCCCGTAATTGTGCGATTTACATAAGTTGGGTAGAGCGAATTTGACGCTAGCCGCGATCGTTAGGGCCAGACCGATTAACAGGGGTAACGAGGCCCTTCTCCCGATACTGGCGCTACACTTAACCGAATTAGTAATTAAATTCTCATTGCCGCTTATTTATACCTTCGGTAATGAAACTTATTAACGTTCCCACTCAATCGCCGAAAATTTCCAATCGGGCGATATGCCTTTTTCAGCGTCCTATCGGCTTTATGAGCCAAAATATCACATATTCCAATATAAATTCGCTGTCGATCCGTCGAAGAATAACAAAAACAATAACAATAACCAAAACAAACAAAAGCAAAACAACAAAATGAATAATTCACGATAATCCGATGCTTAGGCTATTAAAATCATAAAGATCGTGACTGACAATAAAATTTCTCAATGCCGAGGACCATCGCCATTTTAGCTCTAAAGTCGAATCCCCCCGTCGTATCAATGAAGTAGCCGCTCGATTAAACCAATTTGGCGCATCAGTGGCGATTATCCAAGAGCCGTAGCCGAGGCGGAAAAGCCCTGGCTTCCGTTTGTCGAGCTCCTTGCCACGCAGCCGATTTTTCTTTGACTAGGCTTTCCCGGCTCGACCCTGACGGTCAATATTTTCCCACGTGCTCCGAGCGTCGACACGCGCGCCCCCGCCGCATCCGAGATTCCCCCCTGCCGACAGCCACAGCACATGTCAAACCGCTGGAGATGGCGATGTGCTTTCTTAAGCGCGTCCCTTGATTTTCACGGCTTTGGGCAATGTTCGATTCCACGTATCCTCCCCACCTTCCCATCCCTGCCTCTCGACCATCGGGATCTATAGCACCTTAACAATTAGTCCGAGATTATTGGCATCGATCGTTGGCCACGGCTGCAGCAACCGACTCACGCATCCCGTTCGAGGAAACGAGCCGATCTCGCTCGGCAATGCTCTCACCTCCTTGGAGATTAAAGAAGGAAGGATGAAACCTGGTGGAGGAATCAGCGTTGCCTCTTCGGCGACTAAAATAACAACAGAAGCCGAATTTCTCTGAAAAGATCTCTCGGTAATAAAGATGTGCCGCCGTATGGAGGGGTGAGGCTTTCATATGGTCTGCCCGCTCCTATCCTCAAAATTAAAAAGTCCCAAATTGTAAGAGCGAACCCTTCCCCCATCGTCGAGTCAGACCCTCCTCCATGCCGCCCTCAACGACCCATCGGCGCCACCAACAACTCCTTTACGGACTCGGGCAAAGCACTCCCAACGATTGATAGCGAAGGTTGGAGCTTTCGCCGGCGTACTGTGAAATCCTCTTGGGATTCGCGAAGAGAGCAGTCGTCGGCCGGCTTAATTCGACACCTACACTCTTGTCTCGAGTGACCCAGGCGCGTCGCTCCGCCAGGAGAACAATGGCCCCGGGGCCCCGGATGTTGCCACCCGTCGCGGCCCATAATTATTCTAATGAGCCGAGGGGCCGGAGACGCGCATAGTGGCGCTGATCTAGTTCCGAGAAGCCGAGCCGCGCGTCGTCGCGCGCAACGCCCGCACCGGGGATTTGCGGGCGCGCGCGGCTCGACGGCGCCGAGGATTACGGCGTCGCGCCGCTCCCGACCCGAATTTACCTGCCGCGACGACGAGCCCCTTTTCCGCACGGCTCTGCTTGATAAAGCTACAGAGTTTGGGCCACGGAGGGTTAGTGGGAGGGCGCATCGCAGAGCCTTGGAATCCCCCCTGGTCGTCTGTCTTTCATCGGCGTCGGTGGGGTTTGACGGGGTTGGAGGGGGAGGGAGGAGAAGGGGGGGAGGAGGAGGCTCGTTACAACGACAGAGTTTGAAAACGACTCGGGAGGATATTAGATAGCCGAAGGACGTCGCTTTCATAATAGTTTGTTAAAAAGTCATAGGCACGACATCCATCGAATAGTTGATTGAATTCAATGATTATGATAAACTTTGTTGATCG